GTCTGCACCCGTCTGGCGGGGGAGGAATACTGCCTGATACTAACCCTTCTCTATAAAAAATAATAAATATACAATTTTTGGGTTTTAATGGTTTAAGACTGGTTTAAAAGTGTTTCTGCAAGTGGGAGAAAAAGATATATATTCATCTTCTCTGTCAGATATAGTGTTAGGAATCCAAAACATTATTGAAAAACTGTTAAGAAATGATTCGGTTCAGAAAATATTTATTGGAAGTCTGTTTAGGCAAAAGATTTGTGGAACCATGGATCCAGGAAAGTACAATTCTACTGTTTTTGACATAAATAACACACTACGAAGGAAATATGGGAATTCTCAGAATGTGATATTTTGGAGATGTAGGGGTTTAATGAATTCAAATAAAAACATTTGGCGTGAAGATGGGATTAGTTTGAACAGAGAGGCAATGGAAATTTTTAGTCGACAGATTCAACTGGCAATGAAATGTAAAATATTACATAAAATACCTATGCTTGGAGATGATGAAAGATTTTCAGTTCACTTAACCAGACTGAGATTTTTTCGTAGTTAAAATTCAATCAAAAATTCCGTTATATTTTATTTTGTGGTGTGGTTTTTTTACTTTACTTTTTTTTTAAATTCATATTTGTTTTAATTTAAAGACAATTCAAAAGGTAAACAACTGATGTAAAATATTTAAAACATCTGAATTTTTTTTCTAAGAAAAGAACATTAAAAGGTTACTTTGAAATAAAATATCTATAGATTTGAAAATTGTTATATTCTTTTAATTTACTATTTCTTTCCAGGTTTCAGTATTTTCATATTTTGACATTGATTTATTTTTTGTTCTCTTTTAACATATAAGTAATTATTATTTTCATTTTAAAAATTTAATTATTATTATTATTGCTTTGAACCTTTGAATTTCATATTTTTATATTTTTAAATTCATAATTTGTCTAAAGTCTCAAAAATAAATTCAGTATTTTCATATTTTGAAATTTATTTATTTTTTTGTTCTCTTTGAAATATATTTATAAGTAATTATTAATTATTATCATTACTTTTTTTTGTTATTATTGTTGCTTTGAAGCTTTTGGATATAATCATATCTCTAAATTATGAATTTCTCTAAAATCTCAAAATAAAAAAAAATCTTAAATTATCCTAATGGCTAACGTTCTTAATTAAAAAAAAATATTACATAATATTTGATATATATCTTGCATTTCGAACATATTAAAATTAAAATGAATTATTTTAACTTTATCTAAACGATGATAAACAGCAGCTCGCATCGAAATTAGATCGGGCGTGGTGTACGGTAAACCAGTAATGACGCCCGATTTCTGTCGACTCTGAGGTAAAATTGGCTATAAAAATTTACGGATATTGATATCATTCATTTAAACATCACCTTAGGGATTTATGTACCCCATTTCATTCAATTTTATAGGGCTTCTACCAATTTTTCGGGGCTTCTACCCTTCTGTATGGGTATTCTCTGAAAAACGGGGGGCTTCTGGAATTTCCAGTCACCCGACTAAAATGGGTAGCGAAACCCGGGCCGGGCCGGGAATTTCAAAACTGAGAGCCGGGTTTTTGATAATAACGAGATAAATACTCATTCTTTCTTCATGAATTTTACAGACATAGTTTATAACTATAGGTTTTGCCTTCGCTGAGAATTTTAAGTCAAAATGTTGTGTTTTTCGATGATTATTGCCAGTTGTCCTTTTCCAGGTGACTAAAATGGGTAGCGAGCCCGGTTTACTCATTTTGGCTATTTTATGCTTAATGCATCGAAAGTGTTTGTGATATTTGCATTTAATGGTTGTTTATTAACTTCAAATAGCTAAATTGTTCAATCATTATAAAAATAAATGTCGATTATTAGGGTTTAAATCATTTTTCATAGACCCGGGACAGGTCAAAACCGGACGCGTTTGCCCGGGAAAAATTAATAATTCCGGATTGCCAGAGAGAGAGAATGTAGAATTTTTCAGTCCCTGACCGAGATACATCTAAAAAATAAAGTGAAAAAAGTAATAAAAATATGCAAATAAAAAAAAAAGAGTCATTTATATTTCAATTATATGTCATTCTCTGATAAGTATTTCGGAAATAAAAGGTTTTTCCCGGGTGAACGTGTCCGGTTTCGACCAATCCCGGGTGTTCAAAAAATGCGTATATTTTCAATAATCGTGATTTATTACTGCAACAGTTAAATGTTTTAGGTAGTTTAAGTTCAATTTCAAAGATCCAAATGAAATAATTGTAAATATGCTACCGAAATTAAGTTTAAATCGCCAAAATGAGAAATCCGGGCTCGCTACCCATTTTAGTCACTTGGAAAAGGACAATCGGTGATAATCATTGAAAAACACAACATTTTGACTTAAAACTTTTAGCGAAGGCCAATCCTAGAATGATAAACTATGTCCGTAAATTTCATGAAGAAAGAATGAGTATTTATTTCGTGATTATCAAAAACCCGGTTTTCGTTATCGAAAATCCCGGCCCGGCCCGGGTTTCGCTACCCATTTTAGTCACACTCCTTTCGGGGACATACTAAAGACCTGATATACTAAAGACCTGATATTGACCTGATGGAAATATTTTTAACTAATATTAGAAAATAATGCGTTTTTTATGATTTTTCAAAATTAATTATTGATTATTAGCCATAATTCAATGATAAAATATATTTTATTTGACAAAAAATGCATAATTTTAAGAAATATTCAATGAAAACGGTGACCTGATAATTTTGATTGACCTGATAATTTTTATATGACCTGATAAATATGGTTTAACTTATATTATAATTGACCAAATTTATTTCATCCAAATAGAAATACTATAATATAAGTATTTTATATCAAATGTCATAAATATTTGTTGCAAATCAAGAAAGGGGCATCATTTTTTTTTTTTTACATGACCTGATCATTATACTAAAGACCTGATAATTTCATGCCCTGGTAATTTTGAATGACCTGATGATTTTAAAATGTGTGGTATATTTTAATATAACCTTTTATCCTACAATTAGGACATCTTATCAATATCAATTTAATTAAATATATGCAGAATATCACGAATTGATTTTTTACGGCATGACCTGATAATTATACTAATGACCTGATATTTTTTATTAATGACCTGATATTGTAGGATTATCAATATTTTTTTTTATAAAATGTAAATAGAAATGCTTTTAGATAAAGATTAGCAGGAAAATATTGAAATTTCTTGATATTTTAATTGACCTAATATTTTAAAGACTGGATTAAGCGAATGACATGATAGTTTTAATTGACCTGATGGTTTCAAGTGACCTGATGGTTTTTAATGACCTGATGATTTTAAGTAATAGTCAATAGAAATGTGCTGCTATGGAGAAGTCTTTATTTACAGTAAAATCTTGATACTGTTTTCCCAATAAGAACTCTTAGCCATACATGATATGCAAGTCATTAATTGATGACCAACATGTATGTTTCCAGACCCTACGACGTGGACGTGGTTCTTAACAGGGCCCTTATTTGTTTTGTTTCTTTATTGTATTTTTCCAAATTTTTGACTGTTTTTAACATTTAAATTTATTTTGATATTTTTAAAAATGTTTAATTCATATTATATATCCTTAACTTTATTTTAATTTAATTTCTTTCTTTCTTTTTTTTTTTTTTTTTTTTTTTTTATTTTTTTTTTTTTTTTTTTTTTTTTTTTTTTTTTTTTTTTTTTTTTTTTTTTTTTTTTTTTTTTTTTTTATTTTATTTTGTTTATTTTTCATTTTATTTTTTCATTGTTGGTTTTTCTGTCATAATTTATTCTTAACTGATTCTTTTAGTAAGGACAGTTAGGTTGAATGTTCGCCACCGTAAGACAGGTGAGGCTGCTTACATTTGTACATTTTTAGTGCCTATGTGGAGTGCATAGCCAATCATCGTCATCTTCTACACCAGCACATGTACGATGTCGCCATACTGCACAGCTGCCAAATGGTGCATCACATCCTATCATCTCCTGCATGAGGTTCGGCAATCTGCATTTACAAATGCAAGGCACATCCAGAATAGTGACTTTCTTCTTGTTTAGCTTTGCCTTTGTCTCTATTCTAGGGAAGGGGGTGAAGTATTCCTTCTCTAGACAATGCAACAAATGAGGTCGCAAATATGGTGCATCGAATTTAAGGAGGTCGCTTCCCTGATAATAGCTATAACAAAACTGCACAGCATTTGCAATAGCAAACAAACCACAGTCAACACCATTATTCTGCTGTTGAACTTGTGGCAAACGGACTGTAATTTGATGGTAATCGCTGCCGTACATGCTTGCTAGCTGAATCTGCAGTGATGGTGTGACATTGCCATTTGACATACTGTCGAGAACATATATTTGTCCATCTAACTTCACAGATGCCACCCAATGGAATTTTCCATTGTGGTGGATCTGGACTGCTGGTGACATCACAGATCGATATTACCTAAAAAATAGGAAATTGCACGCTGCGACAAAAGCAAGATAAATACAATAACACACGGTACTCATCTTGAAAAATCAAGAGGAAATTAAAAAAATTGGTAAAATCTGGATATTTTGTAGTCTTGGAGTATAATTTTGAGACGATAATTTGATTTATTCCCGCCCATGTGAATTGAAAAACGCCAATGAATTTGTTTATTCTTAATTACTTCCAAATTAAAATTGTACTGTCCAATGAAATAAATATCGCTTTTCGGTTCAACCAATCTTTCAATAAACACTCGCGCAACTTAATTTGCTAGGAATAGGTACCCAAGCTATGTTTCACCCAATCATGTTCTGCTTATAAAGCAATATGTAATAGAGAGAGTTTAATGAGGTTAGAATATTTGTTTGCAATTTCAATTATGCGGCGGTTTTTGATGGTTTCTTGATCATGCTCATCAATGTTTCAATCAATCGATTAACGGTCAGTTAATGAGCTTACGTGTTTGGAAAAAAATTAACTAATCTGCACAGTAGGATTAATGATGGTAAAAATTAGTTTTTACAAGAATTATTATTTATGATAATTAGTACGATGCAATTTACCATAATTACACATCTATGAATGCACATTTCCATAAGAAAATAAATGACATTAAAAAAAGATTTTCCCAAAACTTAAAATGAATATTTAAAAATCATTTTAATAATTTTTTTTTTACTGAACAACAAGAGAAAGATATAAATTAATGAATGAATAACAGTATACGATGATTTGAGTTATTATTCAACGGACCATTCATAGAAAATATCAGGTCAATAAAAATATCAGGTCATATGTTTCACGTAGTTAAGGCTCAATACAGATTTATAACCATATTTTTTAAGATAACCATTATACAGAAATACCTAGCTATACATATACTTATCTGCACTTTCCTGTAGAAATTTAAAAAGAATAAAAGAACAACAAAGATAAAGAACACAAAGATATTTATTTCCACCAGGTCAAAGAAATATCAGGTCAATACATTTTCCTAGTTTATGGCTCATTACGCATACTTTTATTTTTAAACATAATTACACCTAATATATCTGTCTTAAATCCCAGAAATATAAGAATAACTAAAAAAAAAAGACACAGAAAACACGGAGATTTTATAAGTTTTTATTTCAATCAGGTCAAAATCATGTCAATAAAAATTATCAGGTCAATACACTTTCATAGTCTCTGGCTTGTTACGCATAATCATACCTATATTTTTTAACACAAACATACCTAAATTATCCGTTCTATTATCTATCAATATAACATCAAGAAAAAATAATGATAAACACAGAAATCGCGGAGATTTTATAAGTTTTTATTTCAATCAGGTCAATATCAGGTCAATGAAAATTATCAGGTCAATACACTTTCATAGTCTCTGGCTTGTTACGCATAATCATACCTATATTTTTTAACACAAACATACCTAAATTATCCGTTCTATTATCTATCAATATAACAATAAGAAAAAATAATGATAATCACAGAAATCACGGAGATTTTATAAGTTTTTATTTCCATCAGGTCAATATCAGGTCAATGAAAATTATCAGGTCAATACACTTTCATAGTCTCTGGCTTGTTACGCATAATCATACCTATATTTTTTAACACAAACATACCTAAATTATCCGTTCTGTTATCTATCAATATAACAATAAGAAAAAATAATGATAAACACAGAAAACACGGAGATTTTATAAGTTTTTATTTCCATCAGGTCAATATCAGGTCAATGAAAATTATCAGGTCAATGGATTTTCCTAGTTTATGGCTGGTTACACATAATTATACCAATATTTTTAAACAAACTTATACCTAATATATCTCTCTTACCTCCCAGAAATATAAGAATAACCAAAAAGTAAAGATAAACACAGAAAACAGAGATTTTTTTTAATTTTTTATTTCATCAGGTCAATAAGGTCAAGTCAAGTTAACCAGAGTTTTTCTGCTAAAATATCGACAATTTCTAAGTAATTTTAGGTCTACTAACACAAATTTATTAGAATTATTGATATTTAACTATATTTTGGATCTATTTCTTTATTTTCTTTTATATTAGAGCGAGTTATTAGATATTTATTACATGTGCGTTTTTCCCTGTTTCCAAAAATAGCGGACTGACTTTCACCATAACAAACGCCAATCACCTTCACTTTAAATCACAATTTCACAAATAATTCGCACATTTTCACATCTTAATTACCTATTTTCAAATGTATTGTAGTTTTATAATACATATTGATAGATTCTTAATAATTCACAAGTCATTTATACGTTTTATACTACGTTTTATGTGACGAAGCGCTAATTCCAGACTCAGACCCAACACGGTAGCGTTTGTGACGTCAGACCCAATATATTGGGTTCCCGCACACAAAGGGTTAAATAAACTAAGTAAGTACATAGTTATGATGAGCAAGAGTGCCTCTTCCAAATTTGTGAATTTCTTGGCCCCAGGGTCAGGGGTTCTAGTGCTAGGGCGGGGCTATATACATGTAGATTATTCAGTTAAAATGCATTATTTTTTAAAAATTTTTCTCCTCTGATCATGATCCTGAGTATGAATAAACTAACTAAGTACATAGTTATAATGAGCAAGAGTGCCTCTTCCAAATATGTTAATTTCATGGCCCCTATGTCAGGGGTTTAGCTATTTGGTGTAAGGAGAGGGGGGCTCTACATTACATTAATTCTTTGAAAATCTTTTCCTTTGCTCCTGGGTATTATGCCAATGATCTAAGTATATATATATATATATATATATATATATATATATATATATATATATATATATATATATATATATATATATATATATATATATATTTATGATGAGGAAAGGTGCATCTAGCAAAATGGTTAATTTCATGCCCACTGGGTCAGGGGTATCGGGGGGGGGGGGGGTATAGTCTGAAAATAAATGAATGCTTTGAAATCTACTCATTAGTATTAATCAACCATATTTGACGAAATAACGATGATAAAATTTTGAAATATGTGGCCCCAGGGTCTGTGGTTCCTGTGGGGTGGGGTGCACAATTGCATGGTTTAGAATGGAAGTGCATTTTTCTCTTAGTTACTCTGATCTACTTATGGGTGTTAAGTGACTATCTAGTAAGCATTGCTAAGTGTATAATTAGGATAAGCAATAGTGCCTCTTTCAAAATTGTGAATTTCATGGCCTCTGGTTTAAAACACAAACCAAATTCAATTGTTGGAAAGTTGTTACATGATACTCAGGTGACCTATAAGGCCCGTGGGCCTCTTGTCTGGTTGAGTGATCAGGTTAAAGTTTTTGGTGCAGGTTTCATTTTTAAATAACTATGAGTTCTTTCATGACCAATCTTGCATGGATGATACATCTAAGGATGCATACTACCAGGCTTGATTCGGATGCTGAATCTGACCTACATTTTCCGGTTGAGTGAACAGGTTAAAGATTTTGGTGCAGATTTCATTTCCAAGTATCTATAAGTCCTATGTTGACCAAACTTGCATGGATGATACATCTAAGGATGGATACTACCAGACTTGCTTCAGATGCTGAATTCGACATACCTACATTTTTCAAATAATAGACCAGGTAAAAGTTATGGTCGCAGTTCTATTTCCAAGAAACTATAAGGCTTATATAACATTGTATAAACCAAACTTGCACAAATGTTGCATCAAGAGATGAAAACTCTCCAATTTGCTTCAGATGCTGGATTTTGATTACATTTTCATGAAGAAGAACTAGTTTAAATTTTTTATGTAGGTCTATTTCAAAGTATCAGATCAAAATTGCTTAAATATTTTCATTTTTGGAATGTACACTTTTTGTTGGTTAATTGTGTGACTTTGCCTTACTTAAAGACAACATTCGTTGGGGTGAGCTTTGTAATCTCTGATTACCTATGTTTTTTTTAGGTAGCAGCACTATCCATCGCCAGTGGCAATGCTCTGCTTTTAAAAGGAGGGAAGGAAGCATATCATAGCAACCAGATCCTCCACTCCCTGGTACAGGAAGCACTGGAACCATTCGTTCCCAGGGAAACCATTTCACTGGTAAGATTGTGTTGACTAATGTCTTTGTCCTAATGTTTTTGGATTGAAAATTTGGGAATACTGCTTTGTGAGTTTGTTTGCATGTCTACATGTACATCTTGACATTTGAAGGAGAATTTAGATTTGTTCACTGAAGGTCACTCTCAAGAATTAATATGAGTTCAAGGTCATATTTAATCAAAGTACAAAGAGAAAAAATTCCCTTCATATGATAAGAAATTTAAAATGGATTTTTTTATTTTAGAATAAAATGAAGGATAGTATTAATTTATAGTTACAGCTTTAAGACAAATTATGGAAGATGTTTCCACATTTAAAAAAATGTTATATTCATGGCAATACAGTTATACTGGGTATTGAGTTGTTGGTGTATTCATGAATTGGTGCTACACATGTCTGCTTAGTATATTGAAATATGATTTCTTAGTGGTATTCATAAATTAGGGCATTATTGTCTACACCAAAGCTGATAAAATATGAAGCCCGCTTTTTTTAAGTGCACGTAACTACAACATTGTTTAGTGTTGATAATTCCTGTACTATAGGTCAGCACACGTGAGCAGATTGAGTCTCTGCTGGAACTGAAGCAGTACATCGACCTGATTATTCCCCGCGGCTCTAACGAACTGGTCAGTATGATACAGAAGCTCAGCCAGGGGATTCCTGTCCTGGGACACAGCGAGGGCATATGTCATGTTTATACTGACCAGGAGGTGGACGAGCAGATGGCACTCAACATTGGTAATGTTCTGTTGAAATGTATGAGCATAATTTCTCATCAATTTGAAATCTAGTGATGATTAATTTTTTTCTTGCTTTTAAATGGCAAGAAATAAATATATCCATTGAGATTAGAACTGAAATAGTTTTTTAGAAGAGCAAAATATTCTTGCCATATGGGTAAACTTTTGATTTCATGTAAATAGACTTGAACTGTTCTTCGAATGAGGGTTTAGAATTATTTAGTGCTATCCAAAATTTATTTTATTGTAATAAGATGATTTTTGAGGACAGTTTTTATCGTATTTCAGTGCGGGACTCTAAGACAGACTACCCTGCCGCTTGTAATGCCGTAGAAACCATTCTGGTCAACAAGGCACATCTCAGAACACTGTTTTTCGAGGATTTGTTTGATATGCTGAGATCTGAGGGGGTAGGTAGAAAATGGAAGCTCAGTAGAAAGGGTGCTTTAATAGTTTTATAGGAAGGGCTAAAGGATTTGAATTACATGTACCAGAGATTAAAAATTAAACTTTAAGCTCAAAATTGCTGGATTTTGCTCTCTTGAGAACTCTTGTAAGTTGAAATAATTACAAATTGTCAAATTAGGCCATAATAAATAAATAGCTAGATTCTCATCCGAATTTTTTTAAAAATCGAGGCGGGCGGGCGGCTTTTACTTTATATTTTTTATTTTTTCAATTTTGCAGATTTTTTATTGACCTGGTCAATCGATGTATTTTTATCTATAAAACCCGAATAAAAGTCACAGTAAAGGTTCAATTATCTCTTACTTCACATCATCACCTATCTTTTCAACCAATGACCCTTGTTTAAAATATATACACATATATTACAGCAATTACCATCTTTTCAGCTGTCAAAATCATGTCGACTTTGAATACCGATCCCGATCAGAATTAAGACGAAGAAAAACAGAAATAAAAAAAATCGAGGCGGGGGTATAAAATCGGGGCGGGCGGGGATGAGAATCTAGGAATATTTTTATTATGGCCTTATGTATAAAAGCAAAGTCTAATAAAATTTTATGTTGTTTTTATTTAACAACAGGTCAAGATTTACTCTGGTCCCCGTTTATCATCTGCCCTGAAATTCGGCCCCCCACCGGCCCCCTCCCTTCACACGGAGTACGGAGACTTGTCTGTCACCATAAAGTTAGTGGATGACGTCCGTGACGCCGTCCGTCACATCAACAAGTACAGCAGTAGTCACACCGACACCATAGTGACCAGTCATAGTGAGTGGTCCATCTAAATAACAGCCCCTCCCCTCAGTACCTAGTGGTGAAATCTGTAGTGAACAGTCATAGTGGATGGTCCATCTAGTTAAATCATAACTCCCCCCCCCCCCCCCATCACCCTTGTACACATTTCCCATGACATTATTTCAGTAATGCTTTATGATCTTCATGGTCTTCAACCTTACCCATCCCAGCCATTTTTTACCATAATTATAAAGCTTTGTTTTCATGCATCTATATGATTTAAAATACATGTAAAAGGAATTTGTTTATGAGGTTCTTCATAGTTCATAGGTGCTTTTAATTAATGGTAAAAGATGACCATAGCTGCTTTTAATTAATGGTCAAAGATGATCATAGCTGGTTAAATTGCGTTAGTAAATTACAGAAAAAAAATGTTCTCATAAGCATCACTATTTTTTAATACAGAAAACACAGCAGCAGTTTTTCTCAAGGGAGTGGACAGTGCTTGTGTGTTTCACAACACTAGTACAAGGTTTGCTGATGGCTACAGATTCGGTCTAGGTTAGTAATGTTTTGCAGTACATTGTAGTACTTCTGTAGAAATTCTTATTTCCAGGTGCTAGTATTTTACAATTTTCTGTAATATTTCATTTTCGGCATATATAGTAAAACACGTTTAGTACGAACACGGATATAGCGAATTCACGGATATAACGAAGTGTTTTTGGGTCCCCGGCAAAATTCTTAACAATATCTTCGTAAAATTTTACGGTTATAACGAACTTTGATATAACGAATTTACAGATATAAAGAACTGATTTTGAGTCCCGTTGAGGTTAAATATAATGAATTTTACATCTTTTATAACAACTTTCAAAGATTTCAAAATTTGAATAATTGATTACTGACTTTATTTTCTCTCAACATTTGTATATAAAATTCAATTCATAATGAAACCTTAGTTATCGAAGGTATTTTTTGTAATATTTGTTTGCCTAACATATTTGGTAGTAATACTTGAAGAAAGACATGCATATTGCAAATTCACCATATATGGTTATACGAATTCGTTATACAGATATAACGAATTGCGGATAGAGCGAATTAAATTAACAGGTTCCAAGGACTTCGCTATAACCGTGTTTTACTGTACCGTGTTTTACTGTAGTGACAATCCAGTAAATGTGCCTAATTTTTCTTTCTGTAAAATAACAGAAATTAAAATAAAATTTGGAACACATTGAAAACATATTTTGCAGAATTATTAATTAAATTTTTGTTAGAAGAAAGATAACTCTGTCTGTTGAATTTTGAATTTGTCCATGATGCAATGAAGTCAACAACAATTTGGGTTGAAAATAAAGAGGAGAGATTTAACAGTGATTAAATAAATGTATATTTTTATTTTTGTTCTTAGGGCCTGAGGTTGGTATAAGCACCAGCAGAATTCATGCCCGTGGTCCCGTAGGAGTGGAGGGACTTGACTCACCACGAAATGGCTCCTCCATGGCGAGGGGCATATAGTGGAGGATTTCTCGAAAGGAAAATTGGAATACCGACACGTGTCTCTCCCACTGACCCAGGAACAAGCATCGGAGGAGGAAGAACATGTAGAACGGGAGGAATAGAGCTCTGGTTATTGGACTGTTTAAAGACGTACAACACACTGGGGGAGATAACTCTTGCGATTTCAATTGAACGTTTGACGTGACGTCAAATTTAACGTCAAAAATAAAGCGTCAAAACGACGAGTAAAACGATCCCGATGTATATCAATCATGAAAGAAAATTGGGATATGGGGCTTGGCTTTGATTGCGCGTACCATACTCAATCAATTAGTATTTTTTAATTAACCCGATTAAACTCCGTAAAAAGCAAGACATAAAATACCATCCCTTAATGTTTATTTCATTTCATTTCATATACAATAAATGGTATTTTTTATCAAAGCGCAGCATTTTTTTTTATTCTGAAAATTTTATTTTACATTGCCGAAATTCTCATTATGTACAATTGGCTATATAACATTCCGATTAATGGTCTTCATTACAATTTGTGCGTTTACGATATAAATATTTTTTTTTTCTTTAATCAAATAAAATAACAATAAATAAACAAAAAAAAACTTTTTACAATGTAAAATCGATGTAGACCCTTACTGATCAAAGAGGAACAACTCTGAAAATGTAGGAGATGTTTATTTTCCTCCCATTATTCACGGTTTTCCACAGAATCAGATACATTTACAGCAAGACCTGATAAATCCGAGAATTGAATACTATAGACCTCATATACACAATGTAAGTATAGAATTGAAAAGAATTGTTCACTTGTACTGAAATTATCTGCAAAGATGAATATCCTATTGCAGCAAATCGTTTGACTTTCTGTCAACAATGTCGGTTCGCATTTCCTCGAATCAAAACAAAACGTAGCCTATAAGATTTTTCAAAAATATCAAAGTGCGATCTGATATAAATTGAAATACATGAAGAGTTTAATGTTTGATATTTTGAAGTTAATGTGGACGAATACGGAATTTTCATACTAACTTTAGAAGCGACGACATTGAAAGAAATGCGTACAATATCATGAGGGGTGTACATCTATGCAAATGTGATGTATCCCCACGGCCACATACTGTCTCGTTTGAAATAATGACATGAAAGAAACTACAATTATTCCATTTATATCACAGGAGATTTGAACATACACCATTATTTTAATGAATAAAATTAAAGATATAAAATCAAAAATCGACATATTGAAGTTCAACAAAACTTGAATTCGTATCCAGGTTTCATGTGATATGGAATGCATAAAGCATACATATATGGACTAAACACTAAAATCCTTCAGTATTTTTTTCCTGATACACATAAAAAGAGTAGTCAATATTTATTCTGCATTCATGAATTTAAGAACTAATGCATACCTCCGGGATTCAAATGACGAAATACCAGTATATTTGCACTGTAAACGACGTTTCGTCAAACGCTAATGGTCTGCGACGCAAAAAAGGAAGGGGTGGGGGTGGTAGGGGTATTCAAAAATTACCTAAAAATCTACATTTAAATACGCTTTACAAATGAGAACTTTTAAATTTGTAAGTTAATATATTTTTGAAGCAAAAGCAATATTCCAATTTGATTTTTTAATGTGTATTTGTAGATTCATATAACAAAGTGATCGACCCCCGTCTGAAAGACGCGCGGGAACGTGATTTATTCAGAAAGGGGGAGGGGGTAATTTTCCGCTATTAAATCAAAACTGGTCGTACAAAAATTATACAAAAAATTATGAAGATTATTTTTACTACCAGCTACCTAAAGAAAGTTTTTTACCAAAATTAAACGATAGGTTTTTTCACAAAAAAAATTTGAATCTGAAAAATACGCAATTTTCAAGGCTTAGATAATTCATAGTTTTTCAGTTTAAGGTCTTTAAAAATTATTTTGATGATATGTATATCAAAAAGATGACTATATTTTTGTGTTAAATGGTTAAAAGAATAAGCCAATGAAATTTGACATTGATATCTAACCTGGCTTTCTTGAAAATCAAGGTTTAAGTAGTTCATTGATTAAAAATTTCTCTCCTCGTAAACACCTAAAGGGGGGTAACTTTTGGAAGTTCCTGTCCAAAAACCACTCGAACGATTTTGTCCAAAATGTGCATACATACAGTAGATATATTCATGTACTAAATATACAAAAATAACGAAAATTAAACGACAGGAATTTTTTGGGGTAGGTGTGTTGTACATCCTTAAATAATTTGCAAAATGGACATGTGTGAATCGAATCGGTAGTTGTCATTAGATTTCTGATTAGAGAGTGAATGCTGTCTCATTGTGGGATTTCAAAATAGAATTACGGTAGATTGCTGTCTCGCATAAATAATACCATGATCATTGGGAGTTTATAGATAATTTTCCAACAGTATGTCCATTTTTTTTTTTACATTTTTGAAAAAATGGAAAAATATTTTTTTCAGGACACAATCTGTAATTTTTAGCTCTACTGGTCAGAGACCAGAAGAGCTTATGCGATAGTAAGGTGTCCGTCCGTCTGTCTGTCTGTCTGTCCGTCTGTCTGTAAACAATTTTTCAAAACGCTACTCCTCCTACAGTTTTGGTCTGATTTTAATATAACTTGGCACACAAGTAGACTACACTAAGATACATAAAATAGTGCATCGGTTTTTGATTTTGATGAACGGTGTTGCCGTGGTTATTAAAAATAGAATTTTCTGTGAAATTGTTTCATATTGCTACTCCTCCTACAGTTTTCATTTGATTTCAATATAACTTGGCACACAAGTAGACTACACTAAGATACATAAAATTGTGCATCAGTTTTTGATTTCGATGAAAGGTGTTGCCATAGTTACTAAAAATAGAATTTTCTGTGAAATTCCTTGAAAACGCTACTCCTCCTACATTTTGATCTGATTTCAATATAACTTGGCACATAAGCAGACTACACTAAAATACATAAAATAGTTCATCGGTTTTTGATTTTGATGAAAGGTGTTGCCATGGTTACTAAAAATAGAATTTTCTGTGAAATTCCTTGAAAACGCTACTCCTCCTACACTTTTGGTCTGATTTCAATATAACTTGGCACATAAGCAGACTACACTAAAATACATAAAATAGTTCATCGGTTTTTGATTTTGATGAAAGGTGTTGCCATGGTTACTAAAAATAGAATTTTCTGTGAAATTCCTTTAAAACGCTACTCCTCCTACAGTTTTAGTCTGATATTAATATTACTTTGCACACAAGTATACTACACTGAGATACACAAAATATTGCATCGGTTTTTGATTTCGATGAACGGTGTTGCCATGGTTACTAAAAACAGAATTTTCTGTGAAATTCCTTTAAAACGCTACTCCTTCTACAGTTATGGTCTGATTTCAGTATTACTTGGCACACAAGAAGACTACACTAAGATACATAAACTAGCGCATCAGTTTTTGATTTCGATGAACAGTTTTGCTATTGTTACTAAAAATAGAAATGTCTGTGAAATTCCTGATGGCAATGGCTTCTTTTCTCATCCTTTGTCATAAGTACAAACCAGTAGAGCTACAGTCTCGACAGAGACTTCTGGTTGATGATTCACAAGAATATGTTCTTGAAAATTGTAATTGTCACTAAGCTTTAATGAATTGTTAATGATGTCTGATTTTCATTTTAGGCACTTATTTCTACATTTAGGTAATGGAAAGTTATTGCTAAATCTATATTATTTAGTAAATAAGTTTGTTAAAAAAGCAATAACACGTGCACTGCAACAGTTTGCTTGTTTTTGTTCTATACTCATATACCATGAATGGATGCACACCTACTTGTACATATTTTTGATATAAAGTTCTTTTGTTTTACCTCAATTACAAGTAATATGAAAAAAAAAATTTCAAAGTAGTTTTTAAACCATAATATTTCTAGATCTGAGAAATGTGTTTATCTATCAAGGGTGCCATAATACTTATTCTGTAGTTACTTTTGTAAACAATTATATCACTGATCTGGGTGTAGTATAGATCTGTTGCAAATGTTTCACTGATGTTTTTTTTTTGTTTAAATACATGTACGAATAAATTACAGTATTTTGTATTTCGATCATTAGAATGAATATACAGTAAAATTTCGTATCACAACATTGACGTCTTGATTACAATTGATATGTTGGAGTAAATTTGAAGTCCCAACCACATGTTATCTTTTATATTCTTCAGTATTTTTATCTTTGATGCCACTGAGTTTAAAAATAATGAATTTCACTATGCATACATACACATGTATATAATGAGTAGGTATTTAAAGGTTTTTGTCTCATGTTTCCACAAGCTGAATCATTGATTATTTTATACATCATTCCCACAAGGCCAGGGGGCCTGAGTCAACTCATTGCCGTTGGCCCTCTGGCATATTTCATTAGGAATTATAGGGCTTGCTTCTCTCATTCAGAACTACCAATCAAAGCTTTCATAAACAGATAATGTATACAAAAAGGATTCAGTTGACACCTCAAATGCTCGTGTTATGAGTTAATTGTTTACCGTATAATGGCTTAATGTGATTGGTTGCAAGAAAAGAAAAACTTCAAATTTTTTAATATTTTCAGAACATGTCACTTCAGTCAGCCCACGAATATAGAATGAAATATGCCAGCTAGGGGTCCAATGAAATGTGTTGACTCGTGACCCCTTGCGTTGCAAGGATGTTTCTACATTGGATATGTATTAAAAGATTGATAGGTCATATACCATTTGCTTTATCAGAATACAATGCACTATGATAATAAAAGTATTTTCTTATTTGTTCTTCAAATATATTTTAAACTATAAATAAAGTTGTGTGGTTAGTTTTGTTTTTTTATTTCAATAAAGAAAAAATGGTAAATGATATTTAATTTGAATTCTTTCTTAATTTAGTATTATTTCAGTTCTGACTTCTGTAATCAAAACTGAAAATTATTAATCAGAAGAGATGTCATTATATAATGCTATACTCATATAAATGAAAATAAAATTGTTAAACCCGGATATGTCTAGGGAAAGGTATGGTAAGCTCTTTTACTATTTATTCATGACATAAAAATTTTATTTCAATAATATATCTCGTAATGCACAGAGAGATAACTCTTTAGCTTATAGAGATCTATTTGAATATCATATATCTATACCTTAGAGAGATATCTCTTTAAACAAGAGAAAACTTTTTGTATGAGAGATATCTCTTTTGATTTGAGAGATGTCTCTTTAAGTGAGAAATATATCTCTTGAAGTTGGAGAGATATCTCTTTTAATAAGGCTAAAAGAGATATCTTTCTTAGTTAGAGAGACATCTCTTTATATCTTCAAAAAGAGATATCTTTCTAAGCTAAAGAGATAGATTTTTTCCAGTGGTCCTTGATATAAAATAATTAATTTTCTCCTTTCAAACGAAAGCGAAACGGGAAGCAAAGTCTGGAATAATTTCGCTGTTATGAAAAAAAAGACTAATCCGAGCATGCATGCAATACCCAGAATAATATATGTACTATGTAGACAAATATGCTATAAATACCTTGTTTGAAACAACAAATAATAATGGCAACTTCATTGATAAACATAATAAAAGTTTAATAATATTTTGGAAAAAGAAAAACGATAGATATCTCACTAAGTGAAAGAGATATCTAAATGTGAAGATATCTCTAAGTTAGAGATATCTCTTAAAATGAGAGATATCTCTGTAAGTTGGGAGATATCTATATTTTTTAAGGATTTCCACCCCTAATGGGATCAAATTCCTTACCCTTAAATGTCCATCACGTACATAATACTCTGCTATTATATTAAAGCATTTTATTATGAAAAAGGATTAATTAGAAAGAAAGTTTAAAAAAAATTCATTAATTAAGCAGCAATTATTTAAGCAGAAGTTTTTTTTAACGTAGAACCTACGTCGTATGACATCATAACTAGTGAATTTGTTTAACCTGTGCTAGATCCATTATGACGTCATAATTAATTCAATGTCACTTTTTCCCGTACTTGACAGCTTCAATAGAAATGGTAGAAAATACTACATTTTGAAATTCACAGAATTCAATCATGCCGAAATAATCTTAATTCAATTCATATATTTTTTGGTTTATAATGCTTAATGGCAATATATTTCTGGAATAAGAGAAAACCTGTAGGCACCTTTCATTTACTAGATCTAGACCTGAAGTTGACAAACCAAAGACTATCTAGTGTGATGAAATTACAACTTTCGTTATAATTTGAATGGTATGTAACCATTTTGAAGGAATGCAAAAATCGTAAGAAATCTTTAGTTGCAAGCTAAATAGTGTAATATCTTGATGAAATGTGTCTAAATCAAAGATGTACGTGTGGTAGATCGTGTGATCGTGTGTACATTATGATTTTTGTGATATCTATAATGAAATGATGTGCATTCCTTTTCACAATTATTTGTTACTTATTCATATTCTTGGTGTTACAATTTTTCTATTAAATTTGATCTTTTAAATTAAAGGTACAATTTCTGATAAATATTTAATCTGAAAGTAACCCCAAATAGTCATTTAATTATTAAATCCCGTGTAAGTGCAAAAAGGTCAAGAATATGTGTATCGGTAAATAGCCTATCTCTCATTAGTTAGAGGGGAAAGGTATATATTTTAATCACTTTTTGTAATCATTTGGGTATGTTCTTCATCATATTAAAGACTGAATACATTGTGACAAAGACTTATAAAAAATATTTGCAAATGTAGGGTGCAAAATTGACTAAAAATAATAGAGTTCATTATACTATTCTTTTTTAATGGTGGACTTATCTTTTATGTCAATTGAATAAAAAAGAAATTATTCTTGAGAAAATATTGTTTAATATTTTTCAGTTTAAGTCTATAAACGACGATGTTTGGAGAGGTATTTTTGTGATTTTTCATATTCCCTTTATGACAAGTACCCCTAAAAATATTTAAAAATGTGAAGTCGCAATATGTAATTACCATACCAAGTTTCACAGCCTGTACTAGATTTAACAAGCAAATTCAAAGAATTGTGGTCCCCCGCTTTCGGTGTCTTTTTGGGTGAGATGTCATTTTTTATGACATATTGTGTCTAATATGAACGCCCTATCATAAGTCATCTATTTACAAATTATCCCTGAACTCCAAGGTCAAGGTCAAAGGGTTAATGTTCTTGGTATCCAATGAAGTCTTTTTAAAAGGACTACATATGTGAAGTATGAAAACCCTAGCCCTTACCATTCAAAAGCCATGATCAAGGTTAAAGTTTTCTCATAAGTACAAAAAATCTCCAAGGTCAAGGTCAAAAGGTCAAGGTTGTTGGTATCAAATAAATGGTCTTGCCACAAAGAATACATATGTGAAATATGAAAGTCCTGGTTTCTACTGTTCAAAAGTTGTGGCCAAGGTCAACATTTTTGAAAAGTAGGTCAAACTCCAAGGTCAAGGTCCAAGGGGCAAAGTTCTTGGTATTCAATGAAAGGTTTTATCAGAAGAATTATATATATGAAGTATGAAAGTCCTAGGCCTTAGCATTCAAAAGTTATGGTCAAAATGAAAGTTTTTTCATAAGTACCGAAATCTCCAAGGTCAAGGTCAAAAGGTTAAAGTTGTTGGTATCCAATAAAAGGTCTTGCTACAAAGAATATATATGTGAAATATTAAAGTCCTAGTACCTACCATTCAAAAGTTATGGCCAAAGCAAAAGTATGGAATTTTTGTGTAAAAGTGGGTCAAACTCCAAGGTCAAGGTCAAAAGGTCAAATTTGGTGGTACCCAAAGAAAGTTCTTGTCACAAGGAATACACATATGAAATATGAAAGTCATAGCTCCACTAAATCAAAAGTTATGGGCAAGGTTAAAGTTTTTGTGACGGACGGACAGACTGACGGACAGACGGACAGACGGACGGACGGACAGACGAATGAGATTTAATGTCCCCTCGCTTTCGCGAAAGCGGGGGACAAAAACAAGGAAACATGTCATGAGCTTTTAACTGATTGATAAGCAAGTACTAATTTATCATTTTGAAAAGTTTAAAAATCTTGTGGCAAAGATTTTTCCGACATAGGTTCTACCTTAACAAAGATTGCATTGAAGTCAATGGGGTAAAGCGTTTTTTCAATATAAAAATTTAAATAAATTGAATATCAATAAATCCTGCGGTGGAAAGATGCATTGAAACATTAAAAATAGAATGACAATTGAAAACAATTTTTTTACTCGCTAAATTTTTTTTAATTGATATTTTTCCTTTATTAAAAAAAGGGGAGATAACTCTCACCAAAACTAAAGGTCATTAATTAGGACGCATCCCACTATACATACTTATAGTAATAAACGGGAAGCATATCTAAATTAACAATGCCTACACATCTGTTATGTATTCAATTTCATTGAATTTGTTCCTATTAGGGATTGAATACGTTAAGAGATAACCCTCTAAGATCTTAGATTCAAGAATCTCTGTAATTGGAAGATGAATTTTATTTCCCGAATAAATAACAAAAGGGCTTGCCATAGAACCCTAGCTACACTTAAGTTTAATGACATAGCAATCCAAGCTTTACTAAATGGACAAAATCATCTTGACATTTTTTTTTTGAAAAGACACCAAAGATAATCAAAGAAAAAAAAAGGTAAGTTGATAACCGCGCCCCCTCTCCATCCCCAAGATTTATAATCTAGATATGACAATAATTCTTAAAAGTAGTCCAATCCTTGACCTATTTCCCAGATAGAGATTCCCGTGCCTAGTCGTTGAGCCAGATCTATTCGTTTTTGTAGAGAAAGTAATGTTGGGTAAAAATGCCACTTTGCTCTGTAAATTCTGAAAAAAGAGAAAATGTGGATTCAGTAGCCAATGTTGCAACATGCAGATAATAACTAAAAGACACGCTGATAAAATACAATTTGTGAAAGAATAGAATTACTAGTCTGCTTTTGCCCTAGACCAGAAAGGATTTAAACTATATAGCATCATATCGAATCTGATTTACCAAAATTTCATTTGCCAAATGTAATTGTATATCTTGTAGAGGCATCAATATGCTAAAATTTGTGAACCGCTAAAAACTGACTTTGCAGTAGCTTACTTGATAGTATTTATTTCAGATATATGCTGAAGTACGACCAAGATAGACTTACTGACTGCCTACCATAGGACCTCTCCTTCCAACCGAGTATTCATTGCCATAAAAGTTTAACCCTAGGAGAATTTTCTGTCTGACCTCTGGGTTATCATCATAGACGAGGGCCAAAACACAGGACTCCATCCAAGATAACGGGCTGTTAGGTCCAGGTCTGAAAAACAAGATATTGTTCAAATCCACACATTAAAAAAATTATAAATTGAAATATTTTTTTATTAACAACGTCATCAATTATGTAATACTTAGTTTACATGTATGAAGCAATAATGAAGCGAAAAAGATTTTTGTTAAAATTTATATCAGCATATATATGTACCTGACAGGTTTGACTAACTACCTTCATATTAATAACATTTATGATAAATACTCATATATTGGTAATTGCCTGTAAATGTCGCCTCTTGTTACAATACCTATGGGTTGGAGAAATCATATGTCATCAAACCGAATGCATCCACAACAGATAGCAGCTCATCAAATACTGATTTACCAAACATCCTACATTCCTAAAAATTTGTTAAAAAAACATTTTATTCATCAAACATTTTCTCGACTTCAAATTTAAGGGTTAAAACGAAACAGTCCAAAAGCCTGTGACCTAGATTAAAGCAAACTCTTGATAATAACTTGATAGCGTGCATCTACTTGAATTGTTATCTTGTCAACATGTTATCAGTTTCAAAAGTCCAACTGTACATTTTACTTAAAAGTATTAGCTACCTACAGTCAACTCAAATCGACATTGATTTAGGTGGCCAACATTCAACAAACATGGCAGAGAACAAACCAAGATATTCTCTGGGCTCTCCTTTGGTGCATATTAAAAAGTGTGAAATTCACGATTTCTCTATTGATATGATATGTGAGGACTGTGATGAATTCATTTGTGCCAATTGTGCTAAAACAGATCATAGAGATCATGACTGGAAAACACTACAAACGGCAGCCACCGAAAGAAGGAGATGTCTGGTTAATTTTTTTAGGAAGATCAAGGAAGCGGATCTGTCTGGGATTAATGAGAAGATGGAGAAGATGTCAAAGCAGATCTCAGAAAATAAAGAACTTTATGACTCAGAGATAAATAAGCTACAGAAGCATTGTGATGAGATAATATCCAGGGTATTAAAAGCCAAACAAAATATTGTACAAAGATTGAAAGACAATTTGGAAGAAAAAAATGAAAAGTTGAAAAGTAACATATTTGAGATGGACAAAACATGCAAAATGAAGCAAGAAATTGCAGATATAGCCACGTTCATGGAGGAGAACCACAGCACCATGTCGGATTACAGCTTCATTGACAACCACAGAGAACTGAGAAAAATGCTCTCTGGCCTGGATGTTGATATGAAGGACTGTAAACATTCAGTGAGATACATTAAAGGAGAAATCAGTGATTTTGTACTCAAGAATATGATTGGAAACACTCTGGACTTAGATGATATCAGTTTGACCGAAACAAACACATTTAAATATGGAGATAACATAGTTTTCTTGGCATTGTGTGAAGACCTTTGCTACATAGGGAATATAAAGATCTTGTTACCTTACACTGAACAAGTAAGCAAAGAAGGTGAAATAGAGCATACATATAATATTACTGCTAATGACGTGTGTGTGACTGATACGAGTGATGTTTATTTTACTAATTATAGTAACAATTCTATCAGCTGCCTGTCATCATCAGGATCTGTCTCTACAGTCATCAGTACAGATCCACTGGAACCAGATGGAATATGTCAGTCAGTGGACGGCGGACTACTGATTACATTGAGAGACAGTGAATCAGATGATTTCAAATTAGAGTCACACAGCAGACGTCTGGTGAGACACATCACAGTTACAGGTGACGTCTTCCATGAGTATGAGTACCTTGCTGGCCAGGAAGACGGTCATACCAGACTGTTCACATTGCCAACCAGAGTCACACAGAACAGAAACAATGATATCTGTGTTGTGAACTGTACAAGTCTCAGTGCAAGTGAACTCGTGATTATGTCTCCTTCTGGCCGTATAAAGTCTGTCTACCGTGGACACAACCTATCAGTGGACTTTTATCCAACTGATGTACAGTGTGACTCTCTCTGTAACATCCTTGTTACTGACCCCAACAACAAACAGATCCATCTGCTGAGTCCTGACGGGGAGTTCCTGAAGTTTTTACTAACAGAAGAACTATGGAATCATCCATTCAGATTAACAATGTACAAGTCTGCATTGTGGGTGGGATATAAGGAAGGACTTGTCAAAGTGTTTCAGTACAGATAGATTGTAGAAATTATATTACAAATAAATTGTGATAAAATGCACTGTAATATTCATTTGAAGTTTCATGTAAAAAATATAGTTACGTGCTAACTATATTTATATCTAGTAACGCCCTGTCTTGTGATTTTTTTTTATATTTTAGAACCCAGGTATTATCTTTGAGATAAAAGATCGATACCACAGCGTCTGACACATCTCTTTCAAACATGTATTTGGATATCTTACTTGACAAAGATGTTAATGTTAATCTAACAACTAAGTTTCATGAGAAAGCTTACTTACTCAGCAATACACCTGCACGCGGGGTTTATATCTCTCAGTTGATCTGATAGCAAAAGGGTATGCTCTACGTATGTACAATTTCGAAAACGAGATAAATTGACAAACAAGTTGATGAAACAAGATTATCAGCTTGTTTGTCAAAAGTAATCATTTCGTAATTAGTTCTTTGGTCAATACAATGACCTTGTTAGCAGATGCAATTTTTCATTGAGTCAAATGCTGACTAATGTTTTTCATACTAATTGTTAGTTCCTTATCTACACCCTAAATTGTCGACGTATTCTTCTGTTATTTCCCAATCTTGACAAGTTATTACTTTCATACCAAGTATTTACACCTACCATGATCAATGTCTTGTTCCACTTGCACGCAAAAATGGGTATAATCAAACCCTTTTCAGTTTCATTGTCCCTCTCTATGTAGAAGTGTGTAAATACAAACCCTGATCAAAATCAGGGTGCCCTGTATGTAGAAGTGTGTAAATACCTACCCTGATCAAAATCAGGGTGCCCTGTATGAAGAAGTGTGTATACACCTACCCTGATCTATGTCCCCTGTACGTAGAAGTGTGTATACAGCTACCCTGATCAATGTCCCCTGTACGTAGAAGTGTGTACACACCTACCCTGATCAATGTCCCCTGTATGTAGAAGTGTGGACATACCTACCCTGATCAATGTGCCCTGTATGTAGAAGTGTGTATACATCTACCCTGATCTATGTCCCCTGTATGTAGAAGTGTGTATACAACTACCCTGATCAATGTCCCCTGTATGTAGAAGTGTGTACATACCTACCCTGATCAATGTGCCCTGTATGTAGAAGTGTGTATACATCTACCCTGATCTATGTCCCCTGTATGTAGAAGTGTGTATACAACTACCCTGATCAATGTCCCCTGTATATAGAAGTGTGTATACATCTACCCTGATCAATGTCCCTTGTATGTAGAAGTGTGTATACATCTACCCTGATCAATGTCCCCTGTATGTAGAAGTGTGTATACACCTACCCTGATCTTTGTCCCCTGTATGTAGAAGTGTGTATACATCTACCCTGATCTATGTCCCTTGTATGTAGAAGTGTGTATACACCTACCCTGATCAATGTCCCCTGTATATAGAAGTATGTATACATCTACCCTGATCAGCATCCCCTGTATGTAGAAGTGTGTATACACCTACCCTGATTAATGTCCCCTGTATGTAGAAGTGTGTACATACCTACCCTGATCAATGTGCCCTGTATGTAGAAGTGTGTATACATCTACCCT